AAGGTCCCTCTGGCCTTTTTAATTTTTTTTCGGTTGTTAAGGGTTGGGTAAAGGAAGGGGTTTTTTTTTTTTTTTTTTTTTTTCAGCAATACTGCAGAGGGGGAAAAAGGGGGGGTCAACTTTGTGTCTGTATGAACTATTGTTCTTTGTTTTTAGAAGTTCTCTTGCATCCTATCCACTCTATAGGCCAGAGTTCCTTTGCAAAAGCAAGTTACTCAATCAGACTGGAAGCGGTTTCACGATGACAGCATTGGAAAATAACTCCTGCTGACATATCCGCTGTGGGTTAGAGTGTTTCAGAAAGGTTACAACTTCGACGTGGGGGAGATAGAGTGAGCCTTGATCTACCCTGTCATTCTTGGACCCCCCTCTCTGCTCAGAGAGCAACAACAAAACAACATAGCAACTGGGGTGCTTCACTGAGAGGCAAGTTCTTACAAGAGTCATATAAGGTCCTTTAGAGAGCTTAACCATGATGGGACAAGTGAGCTCATAGGGCAAATGTGAAAAATGACACCCCTCTTTACATAATATGAAGTAAATGAAACTATTGTACATATAAATAAAGGTTGAATAAATTAATAAAATATGTAGGTATTTATGGAAATATGCACAATAACTCAGGAATGTTGTTTTGTTTCAGGGGACTGATCGAACTGGGGTCAATCTGCAGCAGATAGCAAACTGCCATTGAACTTCTGTTGCCCATCTGTCAATTTCTATCTAGACTGAGGAAAAACAAAGTCACTCTGTGTGATATTTTACACCAGGGTAGTTGGCTCTGCACACTGCCCCCTTCCAAGATTAGCCTGTAACTCTGATAACATTCAGCTCTTCAGAGACAGTGGAAATAGCTTGTCTCAAAATGACAGGGGCTCTTTGTGTGTATTCTGGACTGGCTTGTCATCATCTCACTGACTTGAATGTGTTTAAACATGCAGACTCTTGACCTTTAATCAAACAATGTTTATACGAATGTCATACTCGATGACAGTAATTATAACATTCTCGTACATACCTTCTACCTCATCTTCTCCTACCTTAATTAACAGGGAAAACAATTCTACATAGACTGTATGCATTGTGTCACATGATTACCTTTGTCATGGTCCTGTGGGCTTGGTTCACCCTGCCCTCAGTCATTTCCACACTTCCGATCAACTGAAGAGTCTCTGCTACCTCAGAGCTCAGGTCACCAAATGTAGAGATTTTAGACTCAAGGGAGGCTCTCTGGATCTCCACACATTTCTGTTGATATTGTACAAATTAAATATCAGCATAAAATGCAACATTTTTCAAACTGTGATTCAATTTATTAAGAAAAACAGAAAGAAAATCTTTCGAAACCATCTTCTCTTGTTGAATTATGGATTAACTGTGATTAGCACCCTTCCCTAGGACTATGGAAGAAAAAAATCGCAAATTCTCTCTGACTGGAAAAACTAACATACATCGCCAAGGGTAAACAGTGGGACTTTGAGAACCTCTGGGACCCATATCTGAGGATCATAGGGATTGAAGGCGGAGCTTATTAATGGGTGTCTTGGATGGATGTCTTGACTACAGTTTCTATTTATATATTGTCTTGTTATTTTTCTTTGTCTTAATCCAGAGGGTTTTGTATATTTTTGGAACTAAACAAATGCAGGTTTGCATAGTGAGTGAGTGAATGTAAGTGTGAATAAGTACATGTTTACAAGGTTAAGTTTGTTGTTTATAAGTTTGTTGCATCCTAAAAGAGAACATTCAATAAAATATATTGGGGGAAAAAAAAAAACTGTGATTAACAAGTTTGTGATTCAGTTTCACCACCAACACACAGGCCTAATTCCTATTAGAAAACTCCAGAGTCACAGCTTTTTACTTGATAAATGACACAGTCAATTGAATACTAAATTTTGTATTTATTAAAATTATCTATTTGATAATAAAATTAGATAAATGTCCAACAACATATCAGTGTGACAAAAAAGCAGAAAATTGCTTGTGGAGGATTATTCTGTATTTTTATTTATTTATTTTTTTTTTTACAAAGGAGTTATGGTATACTATTTGAGTGAAAAAGGTGACATGTTGGGAGACTGTTTCTAACCTCCTGTTGTCCATTAATCAAGAGATATCGACAGAAGTCATCCTGGGCAGCAAGAAAAGCTGGATCAAGTGGACCCACAGAGTTCCTGTATGCACGTAGACTTCGCTCAAAATAGTGACGCGCAGTTTCTACAGCAACATGGAGTAAACAGGACATTCAAGTCAACAGTTTGGAGAATCTCTGATTTGCAGGTTGCATCCTAGCATAAGCATCCAATATCATTGTATCAAAACAAAGGTGATTTTTCAGCAACAAAAACAAAAAATAATTTCAGATGTTAGACTTTCACATTGCATTTGCCTTTAAGTCAGCAGCAAACCATGCCTCTCACAGCTGGGGTCTCTCAACACAAACAGTGGAGGACTTTTAAAGGAGTGCAAACTAAAATATAACTGATCAAAATATTTCTCATAACATACAATGCTATTCAGTTTAAGGCTGAAGGTAATGCGGATAACCCTCAGCAGACAAGCTCTGCCTACTTAAAAGAAATTCTGATAGGCTACTTATCAAAAAAACAAAACAGGTTACATGAAAAGTTCTTAACAGCACAGAAGTATCCCTCTAAATATATTTTTAAAAACATTTCCTTTCATAATTATTTTATTTTTCTGGGTTCACTTAGAACAATCTATAAATATGTTCTAAGTCCGTATGGCTTGATGTTCATTTCAAGCTGATGCTTATAAAATGATCTTAAAGAACTTGACATATAAGGAAATCAACTACATTCAAATTCTAATTAGCCTGATGTGTTTGAGCAGACCTAGTCAGTTTCTATCAACACACTCACCACTGTGATGTTGGTCTGGTGCAGCAGAAAGGATCATGGCCAGGCTGTGGGAGATCTGAGCTCCCTCCAGACCCTCTGGACTGTGACTCACAGCTATGGTATGAGCCTAGCAGAAACAATCAAGTGAAACAAGACAGATCACTAACCACCAAATAAGAAGGGTAGTTATGTAACAAAGGTTGGGAAAGTTCTTAAAAGAGACCAAAGAAAGTTTACTAACCTTAGAGAGATAGTCTATGGCTTTGTCCAAGTGATCTCTATCCTGTTCGATGGTAGCCATGTCTTTATAAACAGCACACATCCTCTCATGCTTATTGCAATTCTTCAGCAGGTCCAAAGACTTCTCACACTGGCTTAATGCCTCCTCTGGTCGATTTTGCCTGGCATAAACCCTATGAAACACAAACACACTTGCAATGTAACCATAACGATGAAGTGGAAATGCAACAATGCTGTGGAAAAGACTTATTCTCTTTTTGCCTTTTTTTTTTTTTTTTTTTTGCTAAGTACATGTTTCAGATGAGTAGGAGTAAATGCAAAATGCAGTTTTCAAATGATGGTTTATAAAAGGAAAAGCTATTGACTCCAACCTTGCATAATATTTATAAAAACGAAAAAAAAAAATAAAAAAATAAACCTGGTTGTGCCACCTTTGGTAGCAACAACTACAATCGAGCATTTGTAACTAACTACCAATAAGGAGTCTTTCTCTTGTTTGCAGATTTGTTTCAGTTTATCTACACAGGAGGGATTTTGCACATGGACAAACTATTTAAGGTCAGACAGTTATATTTAAGTTCAAACTTTGATGAAACCACAAGTGGACTTGTTGGTGTACTCCTCCAGATCATTGCCCCAAGTACACCAAACATGCACCAAACCTTCACATCACAAACTGATGGATATTCTTCTTCAGGTTCCATCTTTTTTTCCTATATGGATAACTGCTCCTCTGAAGTAGCTTTTGTAACCTTTTCCAGATTGGTGGGTATCAATGACTTTGTGTCTCTTCTGTACCCTAATTTCTTTAGAATGTTGTCATACAGATTTTTTTTCAGATGGTTGGATCCAGCCCTTCGTGTGGCAGTGTGAGCCGAAACATTTTAGTATGATAAATAAAAAATTGAAGAAATTTGTAGGGAGGGAAAATGTAAATTCACATTTTGTTCTACTTTTAGCTGAAAGTACACAATAACACTTGTGCCATCACTACAAGTCTAAATCATGTTCCTACGGCAACTAAAGTCCAGACAAGCTGGCATCTTGCAGAGTCGTATTCTGCAGCTAATTAGTGTTGCATTAAAGAAGTAGAGAAACAAGCCTGTATACTTTCTTTACGCCATCAGTCCAACTTTCCAGCTGTTTCCTCTGAAGCTTACAGCTTTGCACAGCTCCTAATCTGAGCTTGGCTTCTTTCTTCTTCCAGGATGTCTAAATTAGGGGACATTCTTGGTGAGTCAGGGGAAACCACCTAAGCACATCTGGAGTTGGACCAAATGGCACAAGAGAAATGTGCACTGCATCTATAATAATTCATGGTTTGTTCTTCTTAAGCTCCCCACTCTTTTGTAAGTAATTTCCTTTTATACTGTGATGTATGAAGGCTCAGTTAACCACCAGAAGGACAACGGATCCACAAAGCTACAGCGTTAATAGCTTCAAACCATCTAATGGACTCTAAATTTAATTTAGCTCTAGTGCAAGGGGAGGGCAAAAGACTCAGAGCTGCACAGTGTTTGGCTTAATTGCTAACAGGCGCATTACAGAAACTCCGTTTGTTCTGGTCATCCGATACAAAAGTGAAAGTTTAGAATAAAATCCATTTGTAAATCTTTGATCAAAGGCAGTTTGATCAGTAGGGCCAGAATATGTGGGGACCAAGATTCCATGCTTGCCAGTGTTTACTGATTTCTGCTATAATCATGTCTCTGGAGTGAATGAATTTGGATCCATTGGAGCATTTGCAGATTACGGCAGCATTATAAAAGCCAATTTATTCAAATTTTCCAATGGTTCTTTGACATGATGGACAGCAGAAGAAGGTCCCCACCCATTAAAGTTCACTTCAGATCCATTTATGGCAGAACATTGACCGAAGCTACAGCTAAGTTCTCACATGAAGTCCTTCCCTTCTGTCAGCATGGGCAAAGTAAAACAAGGCCTTTCTATCCTTTCATTCACTCTGCATCCTTCCTGACCAAACGGCAACGAGACAAATTCTATTGAAAAATATCAAGAGTCCACAAAGCAGGGAGTAAGGCTGTGTACACAGTGTTCTTTTTGCAAATGTTTCCAGAACATGGTTGACGTGAGTTTTCCTGGGCTTCCCTTAGGTAAATGAAACAGAGAGGTTTTCCCAAAGTGAAAACTGAGGGACAAAACACACAAAAATCTTGTTTTAACACATCTGGCGAGCTTCAAATCATGTACATCCAGATTGATGAAAATGGCATGTGTCGTTAATAAGCAAACTGGGAAATCACTGGTGAAAGAATCAGTTGATTTATTCTCTCTAAGTAATTAGAAAAAAGAGAGACAGAAAACATGTCAAAAGTTATTTAATTAGTAACTTTCCTAAACAGGCAGGTACAACATTAATAATATAAACATCCCATAGTCTATGCAACCATGGGGAAGACTGTCAACCTGACCTGTCATTGGCTTGCATAGTAATCTAACAAATCATTGCTAAAGAATTTGACTGTAAACAAACTGTAGCATACAAACATATTAAGGGAAAGTTGAGTAGTAGAAAGAAAATGTGGTAGAAAATGATCCATACACAACACACAAGAACACAGCTTTTGACTTAAACTACTAAATTTGTTTTTAGATGATAATCTAATTTATTGAGTTACATCTGTATGTCCAACACTCCAGACAACAGCCTCAAACAATAGAGGTTTGGTGACCCCTATCCAAAGAAAACTGAAAACACAATGCAAAATAAAAATAGGCCAAGTTCCCCGCAAAAAAAAAAAAAAAAAAAAAAAAAAAAAAATATAAAAAAATAATTATTTTGGGCAAAAATTTTTTTTTTTTTTTTTTTTTTTTTTTTTTGGGGGAATTTGGCCTTTTTTTTTTTTTTTTTTTTTTTTTTTTTTTTTTTT